ATAATGAGTATGTATGCATCTACTTTTCGTACGAGTTTCTGGTTTTTCTTTCATCGAGGGGAGTCGCAATTTATTCAATTTCATACACGATTTTTTATCCACTTATCGCTTCTGATATTTCATTTTTACGTGAACTTCATCTTTTTAGCTCTGATTAAAAGAGAAGAGGTTCGAAGCGTCACGCGCAGAAAGGGACTGAAAATATTTTCCTAAGGTACGCCGAAAAGGGAAAAGAGTAAGAAAAACAATAGCTCGGCTACCAACTGTTTTTGGCGATACGCGAGCATAGCTGCAATCCTTTCCCTCCTTTTGTTCCTGGCCGTTCAAAGTAATTAATTCAGTATTAACAATGAAATTTAATTTTCTTATTAAATCAGATTTATACCAACTTCTGCGCAGCGAAGTACCATTTCTATTACTGCTTTCTTCAAGTAATTTAAAAAAATTATTAATTGAAGTGTATTTTAGTATTATGGATAATCCGTTGTATTTATCAAATTCACGATTTCATATTCAACTTAAGAATTTAAGATTTTACCTTTATTTGTTTTCGACATTCGATTAGAAAAATTATATGCTTTATTTTTTCGTACATTGATTTTCAGCTATTAATATTGCTTTTAAAATACGACAATTTTAGTTTTTAATAAATCATAAAATACATAGAATATAGAACATACACGCTTATATACGTAAATTATTTAAAATACAATAAATAAATTTAATAGTTTTTTCAAACAAATCGAGCATATAGAAGTGTATTAGATACGAATACTAATAAGAATTAAATTATATATAAATGAAATGTACACACATAGAAATGGAAATGCTTTTATAAATATTAATGTATAGAAAAGTCAACTGATGTACAAGTTTTTTTTTATACTTTTCCATTATACTCCGTACATTTCTCATTTATATGTATTACTATCATTTTTTAACGACAAAAAAATTATTGCTTTATCTAAAATTATTTAAAATTATGCCATTTATCATTATCGATGGATATGGAGATATAGCAACGTTTTAAAATTAAAATATCACAAAATTGGATTTCTAACTCATATGCACACGTAAATACTTTTAAATTATTTAATAAAAAATTTTATTGACGATGTGATAATGTTTGCAATGGACGACAATTTAATTACAATTCTACTTCATAAATGAAGAATCATTTATAAATATAATAATTTCCAATTATTAAACGTAAAAGTGAAAAACTATACTATTCATATAAAAATGTTGCTTCTACAACATGATATATGAATTTTATCATCTTCAATAAAAATATTCAATATACAATTTTCAGTTAATGATGTTATCCAAATTATATCATACTTTTGCTAAATTTCAAGTTATGCATTCCTTTACCTTACAGTTTTGTTAATTAAGCTATCTGAAAGATTAAACAAAAATTCTTTCTAAATACCAATTTTAAAATAAAAATTTGAATTAAATTTTTTCTACTTTCGTATTTTACTTCATTTCGTCAATGTTCTTAATCTTTCAAATGAAAATAATAAGTAGAATCGGGTAAATTTCCTTTCATTCAAGTATTTTCAAAACCAATACAAATTCATTGTTCTTCATTAATATTAAGTATTTTTGCTATTCATTTTTACTCTTATGAAAAATTGCTATTATTTTACTATTTATGCATTTAGGAATATTCGTAAATTTTTTTCAATTACGAGCACTGTTATTTTATTAAGATATTTTATATCCTAAGGAACATTTCTTATAGTATGCCGTGAATTAGTTGTATTGAATTGAATTTCGTACAGTACGTTGAATTAAAAAAAAAAGACTTTATTCTAGTAATTGCTTATAAATAAAATCATCGAATTAATCTCTATAAAATCAATGTGTACGTTAAAAAAGACTTATTTATCATCAGATGAAACGCTTTTGAAATTTAAATTTAACTTGAAACTTTGTAATGTAAATACAAATTAAATAGGAATTATAAATTTTGAATAGATTGAAGTTTTTAACCACCGCCCGGTTAATTAATAATTAAAATACGAATCGTTAAAATTTGAAAGGTTCAATTGTTGTTATACTTAAATTTAATTTATATAAGAAAATCTTTAAGCATTTATATATATATATATATATATATATATATATATATATGAGATATTTACTCGTTGATTTCGAAGTATGACGAGGTATAAGTGAAATGACATATTAATAAATTTATAATATCATTTAGAATTCATCTATTAAATTTCATACTTCATACGCTATTCCCTTAAATTAAATATGGCTTATGTCATGGACTTAGATACAGATTAAAACAGTGATCGAACTCTCCTTAGAAACCCATAAATAATAAAATGTACAAAATATTCGAGTTCTCGAATCCGATATTAAGACATGTATTTATCATTATATCAATATAATTACGAATTTATCGTGGACTCAAGTAATCAATCAAACTGTTCTAGCGTTGACGTATCCAGCATGACCCATCGCTTACCAAGTTTATTTAAAAGCCTCCTAAATCTACGCATTCCTTAATCCCTGAATACGACCATTATTTATTTCTTCATATCACTATGATTATTTTCTACTAAGTGTAGACATAAAAAATTGTTATTCATTTGATGTGAAAAAATTGCTAATTCTTGAACTTTTTATGTTAGTCGTATTATAGTATAATATGTTGAATTACAAAATAAAGAAAACTAATGAATAATAAAATAACAATAACAATTTGAAGTATTTCCATTTTATTTATTATATTATAATATAATAGGTACTACATACCTATGCGTCATAAATAAATTGAAATGAAATTTAAGTTTAATTGAATATTCCGTAAATGTATAAAGCTTTTGAAACTTAATATTATTTTAAACAAGTGAAATAGAATTTAAACATCTCGGTTTTGAAATAAAGTCAATAAATATGCGACAAGTGAAGAATTTTCTTTTTAATTAAAAACTCAAGCAAACAATTGTCTTTAAAAGTAAAAGCAAAATTACGTATTTTTATTTTCCACTAAAATTTCACATTACGACGCTTTATGTTCTCTTCTTTTTTTTCTTCTTTACTATTTCGTGAGTATAACAATACAGATAAAAACTTACGTTTCAATGTAGAGAATGTTCAAACGTACTGAATTTGCGTTTTGTCTATATAAATTGCTATTTAGACGATGTTTTGGTAGTTGAAAGAATAAACTACTGTATTTACATAGTAATAGATTCGATAGAACTGAAACACAAACTAAATTTAATCTATATAATTCTAACGATGAAATATCTCATCTAATGATTAACATAGAAATTTCAATCTTTGTGATAAATTTGTTGAATTTTTTAAATTAAATTAACTATTTTACTATTAAATTTAACAATTACATTTTATACAGATCTTTTCTTTATCACAACCATTCATATAACACTTTTATATTTAAATAATTTAATATATTATTATTGAGAATAATGATTAACTATTAAAATAATTTAAAAAAAAAAAAATTAGTGACTTAAATCCATTAAATAAAAAACAGTTTAAAAAAATTACTTACTCTATTATTAAATTATAATGAAAATTATATATTTATGAGTTATATTTTAGATAAATAATGATCAATGATAAAATCAGAAATTTAATTTTCAATATTTTTTAAAACTTTATCCTTCTTTAACTACTATTATATTAAAATTTATCAATTATAATAAAATACATTATTAATTATTTTGAAGATATTGTAATAAAAATGTTGTAAATAACCTATTTTATACTTGTAATACTTTTTTTTTTAATTAATAATTAATGCAATACTTTTATGGCAAATAACAATGACAATCTTATATTTTTTAATATATAGTTATATATTTTATATATAGTTTGAAATATTATCAATAAGATAATAAAATATTGAGTGGATTGAAAATGCTTCATCAAATTTCGGAAAAATTTAATAAATTATATTCAAAGAATTGCCGATTTGATAGTTGTAAATATAAATATATTATTTAAAATTGATTGCATATCCTATTCTATGTTATTTATGATTGCATTACTCATTAGTAAAATATAATTAAAAAATTAACATAAATTATTTATTTACATGATTATATACATACATGTATTATTAAAACGGGTAAGAGTATCTCAAAATAGGAAGAAAATGATTTTAATTTTTATAATGATATAAATAGTCGGTTTAACTATTATCTTTTTAAAATTATAATAATATATGCATATTAATAATATTATATTTTAGATAAATACTTAATTCCCTCACGCATTAATTATAATTCTCATTTTCTATAGTATAAAATATATAATGAATTAAGTGAAAATATTATATATATTTTTAAGATATTTTTATATACAATGATTGATATTTAAAAAAAGTATTTCAGTATTATTTTATTAAATATATTGAACTTATTATGTTCAATGTGTAATAACATGCAAAATAACATGCATAGAACTCTTATATTTATTTAGACTAACTTTATCTACATAATTATTTAAAGAAGTAAAAGATCTTTCAGGTCACGAAGGTATGAACTTAAGGGAAATGAATGTTGGATCAACTCGGTAAATCCTTCGTTTTTCTCTTAGCTTTAGTATCTTTGCTTTCGAAAGCTGTTTAAAAAATAATAAGTACTTGTCTTCTTTAAAATATTTTGATCAGTCACAAGAATGAATTCATGTTAAATATCCGATTAGAGTTGCATAAGTAGCTTAGTATTAAATTGTAAACTATAATTGGAATAATTATAAAGTAGGCCTGGCTGATTTAAACAGCGAACTGAAAAAAAGTATCCTTTCTTACAAAATAATATTATCATATACGAATAAAAAGACAACGACAATGATAAATAAGGTCTTGCTGCTAAGAAGCCATGCAAATTTCATCTTTTCTTTTTCTTTTTATTCAAATTTTGAAATATGCATCGTTCAAATTTATAAATCTTCAACCACAATAGTAGACGCCCGTTTTTAGATAAATTACACATTTTAATTTCCAGCGCCGATACTTGTAATAATGGACGACTCCGGAAGAATAAAGTCTGGAGAAAGGCATCTGAAAGCCGGTAGTGCTTTACGTCTACGATGTGAAGCGCGCGATGTACCAGAGCGATATAATGAAACTGTCATTTGGACCAGAGGAGATGAAATCCTCAACGAAGACGTTAGGTAAATATTAAAATGCTACAAAACTCACTTTGCTGTTTATTTTTCTTAAGCAGCAATTTTACAGCCATAGTTGATTTTCAAAGTTAATTGAATTTTTTACAACGAATTTATAGATTTTTTTTTTATTTTTTCGTAAAATTGAAACGATGAAAAATAGCATAATAAATATACAGATATAACAAATATTAAAATTAATCGAATGCTTGTCCTAGCTTTACATACATAATAATAACAGAACTTCATGACTGTGTAAAAAAGCTAAAATAAATATATTTAACATATTCAGTGAAAATAAAGTATATTCTATATTATACAAATTGTAATATTCGAGAACAAAAAAACATTTATTTTTTATTTTCATGCTTATTATTTTAATATATCATTAGCATTCCAATAATGATAATTGTAAAATTATGTGAGATATTCTATACTTTATTATAGCTTCTGCTGGAAATTTTGTGATTTCGGTCTTAAAGATAAATTTTCAATTCTAATAATTATATTTTTATATTGTTAACTCGTGGTTCATTTTCAGTATATGAATTTATAATTTTTTTCTTCTTCAAATTCAATTAAAATAAAACTTTATCAATCTGTTTCCAAATAAGTTTAGGGGTGCTAAACTTAATTTTGCATTCTTAAAACTTTAACAACATAAGAGAATAATAAATAATACTCCTCTTTTTTTTTTATCCCAGTGTATAAATAAATATATCAAATATATTCTATTCAAGAAAAAAAATATTTTAACATTTATAATAAATTTATAATAAACTATGATAGTTAATTTCAATATCAGTATAATAAGTATTTTTTTTTTCTTATCTCTCGTATTACGTATTGTCCGTTATATAATATATAATAGGAATTGCAGTAAAGTAAATATGAAAATTTTAAAATACAGTATAAATGCTGACGAATATTTATTTATGAATAATTTAATAATAACACTTTCCCAATAAAATAAATGCTAAATCCAAGACGACCAAAACTACTAGTCGCATCTATTTTTTGACGAATATAATAAAAAATTTATGTATTTGTAAACAGTTTTTCATGTGAGATTGGTTTCAATAGTTAATTGGAAATTAAACTCCCATCGACCAATAGAGCGAGTTTAAGAGCAACAATTAGCATATATGGCTATCAATTATAAGACAATATAAATAAGACAATTTATTGAAATGAATGAGAAAAACTTTTATACTATAAATTTCAGTGAAAACAGAACTGCCGAGTGCTTAGATGGCAGAGAGATTCAAGTTATCGTGAGTACGATAGTAGTGGAGAAGGCAACACCCCGTCATGCTGGTAACTATAGTTGTGTTGTACCTGAAAAAGCTAAAGCTACGGTTGCGGTACACGTTCTTAACGGTAAGTTCATTTTTCATTCTCTTGTTTCATTAAAGGGATAAAGCTTAATTAAATGTAATAAAAAATTGATGTTAAGCATAGCAAAGCATTATAAAGTATAATAATAATTGAGATTGACTTTGCTGAAAAATTGACTTATTAAGAAATTGTAATTTAGAGGTGGGGATGGTCTTAATTTTGAAATATATTTATATATTGAATTCTCATGGATTATATTGTATTTTTAAGATAATGTGATTAAAAAATAAAAATTTTGTAAGCATTCATCCATCATTCGCAATACATTACGTTATGTAAAATAAATTATTTGTATTTTATTCATTCGCACTCTATATTTACATTCATATTTCGCTTATACATTATTTGTGGTGTTTTGATTTTACCTCTTATTAATAATAATTTATCGATCAATTGATGTCACTTAATCAATAAAGAATTTTCATCAGTTAATTGTCTTTGCTTAGTTTTTAATCAATTGTTCTCGATTATTTGTAAAAAAACTGAGCAAAGTTAATTGCTTTTTCTTGCTTTATTACTATCATTATCGAGCATTAGTATATATTTACAAAGAACACGAGAATTGTAATCACTTTATAATAATTTTTTAATGTATTGTACCTATATACCGAAAATTAAAGTTGTTAAAGAGCTTTGCTCATAACTCTGAAGATTAAATTTTTAATAATTTTAATAAAACCAATTAAAAATTCGAATATTATGTTTGAATTAATCAGGTGAAATGTGAAGGACACGAATATGATAAAAACTAAGGAGGAATTAGTATTAGATATATTCTTTGAAATTTTTTAAAACGAGGTTCAATTGCCTTTCCCTGTTTACTATAACATGACGTACAGCAAATGAAATAAGAGGTCGAGTAAGTACACCGCATGATGTAAAAATGTCTATAAAAGAAATATTAACGCGATAAAGATTTATTCTGATGTGCGCGCGAGCGGTAGCATAATATTTAAAGGAGCTTGTAGCATACTTTAGCTTTGACAAGTGCGTATTAGGTCAGGAGTTCAGCCAGGTGAAAGAAGGAAAGTGGATGCTATGTACGCAACTATTCATATACCATTTATAATACGTGCGTATAACTTTTCTCTCGCTTTACACTTTACCAAGTTTTATTTCTAAAGCTGGTGGCATTTATAAGTGTTCGGGCTATAAATGACTTATTCGATTAAAAATTACGATGCATGGAGTAAAATATAGATAATTAACAGGCATTTATTGCGGTATTAGCTTAAATAAAAAGCATTCGGATCGTAGGTAATATAATTTTCATTTATTAATAAACACTCTTATTCGCGACGAAATAAAATTATTATTAAATACAATTATCATCAAATGCTAATATTCTATTTCCGAGCATAAAGCTCTTAATGTTCCAAAGATTTCCTACCCTATTGCGGTATAAAATATACAAATTTATTAGATCCCTCGACCCATATTAATCCCAACTTCGTCCCGTCCATGCTAACCTCTGCAGATAAGTGTGGGTACTTTACCGGGAAAAACCTCGCCGCCCAGAATGAAGTGAAGAAGTTGCCATCGAGTCAGCCCACTTGATTGGAGCAGCGATGCTTCTTCAAAACCCTCAAAGAAGAACAGGAGTCGGATCCCTCCCAGGAGTAATTCAGCAACAACGGCAAAGGACCCCGGTACATTGAAGACATGGATCCAGGACGCTTATACCATCCCCTCCGGCGGCACTTGGGTGGGTACATCTAACGAGAACAACAAAATTGTCAACGCTGGAACAAAGCTCCACTGTGCCATTGGCCTTAGTCACGACGACCCGACGTTTCGTTCCTGTCGCTCCTCGGCGCTCTCGAAACAGCCGCGTAACTTACCCAATGCTCCTTTCTCAAATGTTCCTGATATATTTATTAGTCTACCGATGTAGTTACGCGTACGGATACAATAGAAAAGTTGGCGTTATTATTCATCTTAATAAATTAATTATTTTTATTTACATTTTAGTGCATATAATTTAAGCGATATAGCGTTTAAATGCTTCAGTTGTACAAAAGTGTTGCGCAATTTAAATAAACGACTGGAACTCTTATCATATATGCTTACAAGCTCTTAAACATATAATTATTTTAACAATTTTTATGTGAAAAATCATACGCTTAGGTAGACTTGGAATGAATTAATTAATAATTCATAAACATCCAGTAGATAAATTAAGCTATTTCTTTTTATTGAAAATTCGTTTTGCACGTGAAATCAGTATACTTTAATATTCCATAAATGGTATTACCTCTTTACATCTATAGATAATATATAAACAAAGATAATACGATGGTATTTCTATATAATAACTAATAGTAAATTATTTACAACCAACAAAATTCGTATCCAAGTAATTTTAGTCTATTGTCATTCAAATGAAATTCCGATATAATTACAATGAATAATGCGTTGAGATATTATTACTCGTTGAATATAATTTGGAGCTTCGAGAAATGGATAATATAATTCTAAAATGCACTTCTCTTCTATTTTGATATTTCATATTTTGCATTATTAGTACTGCAGTAGTGCACTATATACTGTAGGAATTGCAATATGTCTTATTCCCCTTATATTTTACTTTACGAGTACGTATATTTCTTTTGTTAATCTTTATTTTTGAATTATGCAATTCGATTTATGCATTTATAAATTTTACCCATATTTTCTATACTTTATCCACTATCATATATTACGATTGGTTTAAAGAAATTTCATTCGTCACACATGATAGAATTTATTTCCAACGAATGCAATAGTAACTACCATTCATTACTCCAAAAACTTATTAGATAAGATTTATAATATTATTTAAATTACAACAGTATGAATGAAAAAATAATTATTTTAAACTCGTTGAAAACATCGATAAGATCAAACTTAACAATAAAATCTATCCTTCGATTTTACAAATTTTAATCAAACTATCTTATGATTTTATGCATTATCAGGGTATTAATTGCGCATTAAAATAATGATTTTTCAACCTGTGAAGTTTTACATTATTAGTTTAATTAAAACCGAAATAATAAATTATAGCATTTATAATTGAAATCCGATTAGCGATTCCAAGATATTTTCTAAAAAGCTCGAATATTCGATCTTATTCGAACTAACGGAGTAAGTGAACATGGTAGAGCCGCAAAGGAAGAGAGAGAGAGAGAGAGAGAGAGAGAGAGAGCGGCAATAGCGACAACGACAAAGTTATCGTAGAAATTACACAAATGCATTACCGGTTCTTGGCGGGATTCCGTTCCGCAGAGGTACGATGCACTTAAGATAACACTTCGTAAGTAAAAACGTGAAGCTTTTGGCGAAGGACGAATATTTTTGGCAACATCGAAAACCGAGTTTTGGAATTGAAATTATTGCGAATTCTAATAATTTAAATAATATACTAATTTATGCATAAATTCTTGATTTACCTAATACCAAAAATTATTTGATATAATTTATAATAATTTCCTTTAATCTCCTATATTTACATATATATTTTTATGTAGCAATTTTAATTTGAAATAATTTGATATCCGTAAATATTTGCATACTCGTTGATTACAAAGTTATTATGTGATAAAATCAATACACATAAATTTCAAATAATTATGTAAAATTTTTAAGAAAACTTAACTCAAAAATTTTAAATATAAATTTCATGTATGCTTTAAGTATTTATGAAATTAAAAAAAAAAAGTCAATACATTCATTATAAAAATCATTTTATTTTATATAATTATATAATTCTCGCGGTATACAAACTATAAAATGAAAACTTGAAAAATATAAATATTGAATTTAGGTCGGCAAGATTACTATAATATTTTGAAAAAGTGTATAAATCATTCTCAATTTTACTTAAACATTCAAAAGTACGATAAAACGATAGGGATTAAAAATATTTTTTTAAAATTTGTGTCTAATAATTTGAGTGGACGAATATTATTAAAATCACGAACATTTATCGTGACTATTTAAAATTGATCGATAATGCTTTAAAATATAATAGTAAAATGTGATACTTTCATGCAATGTGATATATAAATTACAGTTTGTATGTGTCAAAATTTTTCACTTTATAAATCACACATACTTAATTCACTACTTCAGCTTACTTAATCCATTTATTACTATATTGATGCTGCCATATATTAACCTTTTTCAGCGTTGAAAAAAGTGACATTGATGATCATGCAAATATAAGTATCAGTCTTAAACGCAGTTATTCTTCCTATCGATCTTCACAACATTCATCATAAATTTCTTTCTCACAGATCGTTGCTGTTAAATGAGTCCATAATCCAAACTCCTTTCGCAACGAAAATCCTTCAGCGTGCCGTAACGCATTAAGATAAACAGCAAAAAGCTAAAGCGATCTTTTAAAATCTTCTTATACGAATCGACCCACCATTTCAGCTTTAAGCAACATGATAAGTTGGATTAAAGTGGACTCACGATTCACATAAGCTCTATAGATCACTTCATATCTCATGGGAAAATATGCATATAAAATCGTTTCTACTTTTATTGCTGCTTGACTTTTATTAGTCACCACAATCTTCAAATTATTTAAATATTATGTATTTAGGCAATGGATTATTCAATCTATCAATATTTGTATCGTACGAACATGCCAATCCTATGCCAATCCTATGCCAATCGCTTACTCATTGCTGGAATTTTATATTATTATTAAGCTGAGCTATGTAAGAATTTACCTGGCAATTTGAAATATTATAGGTAAAAATTTTATAAACTCTATTTTATACTTCAAGTTCATCCACAAGTTTTCTAAAAGTTTGGTCTGGTTAATTTTCATTATTATTTTTTCGTGTACCATTTTCAACATTTTTGTCCATTTAATTAAGTTTTTTTGGTAAATTTTCAATGTCTATTTATTATTTTAATTTTACAAAATCTTAAATTATTGGAATTTTATTTCCTTTCTTATTTTGTTATATAAAATTGCTTTAACAAAT